TCTGTGTTGGAGGAACGAAGTTTCTCCAAATACCTTTGATATTAAGGGCAAAGAGATATCAGTGGTCCCACAGACCACATGCTGAAAAGCAAGAATTACAGAAAGACACACAGAACACTTTCTATTCTACTTCTTACACATTTATCATATCACTAAAAATTAGACTTGTAATGCATTCACTTACGCGGTTGTAATGTATCCTTTTGAATCATTATTTGAAGAAATGAATCAAGAATTCTGCAGATATTCATTACAATCCCCATCTGATGTATAGGGAATGGTTGCATTTTCTTACGTTCATTCAGAAAGTTCATCCCTTTTTTTACACTTGAGTGAAACAAGCTTGATAAGTACTCAATATCATTTTGTGCCAATAGTTCAGAAAAGCCTTCTAACCATGTACTGACATATGGTTCCCATCCCAGATCAACTGGATCCTACAATAAAACAAATGAACAGATTTTCAGAATTGCTTCTACATTGCTTCTGCATATTTACGTTCTTTATATCTAGATTCTGCTTGTGAAATATGAAACATGCACATACGTTTTCCTACTATGATACAGATCAGCTATCTGTTCTATGTCTTGGGGAAAATGTGCTATACAGATTTTCTACATGGGAACAGATGTCCATGTAGAAAGTTGCAATGTTTGAAACGGCTTCCATAAGGATGATATCTTTGGTTGGCATTGGCAAAGGATGCTAGTTTTTAAAATGCTTACTCTTTAAGTTTTTCAACTTGTACAAGAAGAAAATGCTAACATTTTTGTGCCTTTTCTTTTTCTTCTTTTTCTTTATATCACTTTATTTCTTTATAATTCAAAAGTTTTCAATAAAATATTGAAAAACAGGCAAAAAAGAGAAAAATACAAGAAAATACTAAATAAACAAAACATAAAATGTTTAATACAGAACATACATTGTTCCAGCAATTTTCTACTCAGGGCCGCGTCAGACAAAGTAGTTCCATTAGCCCAATAATTTTTGTCTGCACAATTAAACTTCCTCTCCCTGGGTGCCACCCCCCGTAGATTTAAAAGAAGCATATTATACCCAATGGGGATTCCAAGTGGGGAATCTATGATCTTGAGAGAGATCAAGGCAATTATTTAACCAGGGCATTAAAAGAAATAACAGGTCTATTGTGCTATCATCCCCCTGATCAAAATGCTCAGGGAAATATTGAGATGAAGAATGAAATCAAGGAAGTATCCAAAATACATGTTGTAATAACAGGGGAATTCAACTATCCACCCATAGATTGGCTACATATGTGTTATAGTCATGACAAAGAGGTAAAATTTCTCGATACTCTACATGATGATAGCCTAGAATAATTGGTGCACTTCCAGTCTGCAAATGGTGCCATGAGCAGCGACTACCCCTCCTGTCTCTGCTAATTGCCTTCAGGACAACTTCACTTTTTTCACTTTCCATCTTTGCTGAGAATGTTAAAAGAAAGTATGAAATATCATATGAGTAAAAATGTTATTTAAAAAACCTACCACGTAAACCATAGCACATCTACTAACAGTAGCAGGGCTGGCCTGAGAGAGGCTGTCCACTTCAAATATCATTCTGATTGCTGGTGATAAGTAGATTCTTTCACTATTAGGAAGGCATAACACTCTGGAGTCATCTAGCACAGAATTTAAATTTTCTATCCAAACTGGGTCTACTGGCCCATCCAAGATAATCCATTGCCAGTCATTAATACTTTCACCTACAAAAGAATAAACAAATAAGAACGTCAGAATTTGCTAGTAACATTTATAAGCAACAAGAATTAATAAATAAAGTTAAAATCTTTGAAAATGATCATGTTATTTTAGGAAAATATATCTTAAACCTATTGACAATTTTTCTTTGTGCTGAATATCAAACTGGAGGAGAAAAAAATCTTATATACCAGTTTTTATTATTTTGTCATATACTGTATTACTTTCTCTTTATTTCACCCAAATGCTTATTAACCTGATTGCCTTGGAGGACATTTTGCATATAGGATGATGTCCTCCCTCTGGATGTGACAGGCAGGGTCTTGAAGCTTTGCCTCCTTCTCCAGAGGAAGCGGTCATCCTACCCTCCAGATCTTCCCTGCCTCAGTCGGGATAGGTCGGGTCTTTTTTCATCTCCAGTGAAAAAATCTTAGCTATGTGGTTAATGAGACTGTGAGTTTGATAATGGTTAATGAGCATAGCTGTTAACTTTTCCCTTTTCTTGCGAGGAATCCTATTTGGAATAAGGGAATTTCCCTTAAAAAAAGGAAAACGTTGACAGCTATGTTAATGAGACTGTGAGTGTTGCTGGTTTTTATTTGTTAGTTTCCTAGTATACCTCTTTCTCTTAAAATGTGGTGTGTCCCCCAGGTGTCAACATTTTCTGTGTGCCCTGTCGTTTCCCCTGCTTAAATTTTCTTCAGGATGAGGACGTGTGAGGGAATTCAAGGAAAGCAATTGTTCCCGTGCTTCCCCCCCTTTTTATTTTGGTCCCTGGAGGGGGTAGAGATAAGAGAAGGATGGGTGGCCATTGTACAGCGGTCAGCCATTTTTTCTTAGGTCCTCCGCATTCGCTGGAGGCAGCAACATCACACAAACCAGATCAAGTGAGACTGTTGCTTCTATTATACCAGACTCTCAAAGTGTCCCTATTTTCCAGGGACAGTCTCGGATTCACAGAAGCTGTCCCAGTTTCTGCTTTGATCCCAGAATGTCTTGCTTTTCCCAAGGCGTCCCTATTTTCATCGCAGAAATGTTGGAGGGTATGTTATACCCTGGGAGGTGTGTGGGTGAATGTCATTTGCTGCTGATGGCAGGTGTCATAGTACCCTTTAGAGCACAGTACCCTTTAGAGCAACACAATGAATTCCCCCCCCCCATTAAAACAAGCTGTGAGGGAAGCTAGGCCTCAGTTGTGCCGACAGGAATCTCTTCTTTCGGTGGTTCTTGTACGGGGACCAAGGAGAGGTTGCTGTTTGGCAGGAACACTATTTTTCTTTCTCAGTGATTCATTGGGGCGGGCAGTCCATGGGGAGCTTGTTTGATAGTTTTCTCCTCCCCTCTTTATTAGCGGTGACTCTATGTTCCCTTTCTTAATTGCACACACACTATAATTATTATCTTCTACTTTTTCTTTTTTCTTTTAAAGGGACGCAGGTGGCACTGTGGGTTAAACCACAGAGCCTAGGACTTGCCAATCAGAAGGTCGGTGGTGCGAATTCCCATGACGGGGTGAGCTCCTGTTGCGCAGTCCCTGCTCCTGCCAACCTAGCAGTTCGAAAGCACGCCAGTGCAAGTAGATAAATAGGTACGGCTCCGGTGGGAAGGTAAAGGGCGTTTCCTTGCACTGCTCTGGTTCGCCAGAAGCGGCTTAGTCATGCTGGCCACATGACCCAGAAGCTGTACGCCAGCTCCCTTGGCCAGTAAAGCGAGATGAGCGCCGCAACCCCAGAGTCAGTCACGACTGGACCTAATGGTCAGGGGTCCCTTTACCTTTACTATTATTTTTATTTATTGAATTTGTATACCACCCTTCATCCAAAGATCTCAGGGCAGTTTACAGCAAAAAATACAAAACAGCTGTTTCTATAATAGCCAGCTGAAACAATTCAGGTGCAGGAGGTGCCTGCCCTGCTTCCTATCTCCCCCCAGTGAGGCAGTCTGATGGAACAGCTGCCCTCAGATGTCAGCTGAGGGAGAGGAGGCCTGGTGGGGTTGGCCTATCACAGCAGAGCAGATGGAGTGATAAACTGTTGGCCGTCTAGTTTTACATGCGAGGGATTTCATACTGTGTGCTAGATGCTTGTATACAATACAGTAATGAAGCAACGAGAAATAAATATTTTGAAATCAATAGACTTATGAATAATATTATGAACAAAAGATTCAAACATGGCTCAGGGCAGTTTTCAGTAGGACTGTGGAAGTAATAATTACTCAAATATCAAGATGCTGCATAATTTGGACCCATCACTGTGGAAAGAGAGAAGAAGTGTCTGTCATACTTATCATTACAGTACTTATACTGACAGTGAATATTTTCTCTTGACTGCAGTGCTTCATTTTTTAGGGATGCATCAGCAAGATTCACTGTATTCAGCTAGAAAAATAGAAATGAAACTAATTACACTGCAGATCAGTTGATAAAGGAAGTTAGGCAAGTTAAATACAGAATTGGTTTTTTTAAAAAATACAAAGCTTTTTTCCTAGAGAATTGGGGCAGCAAGAAACTTCTTTAATTACAAAAACAAAAAGCCTTGGGTGCCATGTTTCTGGGAGGATCCATGACTACCAAAGGCAGTTTCAACCTGAGATATACATTCAGTCTCTTGAATCTCAGCCAAATCACAATTAAACATAGAAAGTTGGCTCCAGAGTTTCCATAAATTTTCAAATGTAGTCTTGGATGATGGTGGAGATAATTTTTGCCAGTTCCTCTTTTGTTCTGCAGCTTCCTGTGCTCTCCTAAAACCTGCTCTGAAGAGTTAGGAGACCCTCCAAAAAGTATGGGAGATTATGATAGGGGTTACAGGAGAAAGGAAGAATTGGTGAAAATTACCTCCTCCCCTCATCCAGATTGAGTGCAATTGTCCCCTCCTGCTGTTGTTCCCAAGTGACTGATATTCAGAGGCATGGTGCCTCTGACCCTGGAGATATTAGTCATCATGATTAACTAGTCTTATTCTCTATGTATTTGTCTAATCACCCTTTAAAGCGATCTAAAGTACTAGTCAGATAGCCCATTACTATCATCCTTTGCAAGTTGAATGGCAACTGTCTGAAACAGACAATTAATCCCTTAATCCCAAGCAAGCAGTGCCAATAACTTCAACCAATATGCTACTTGCTGTTGAATAAAAAAGAAGATAAAGGGAAAGAAACAGGAAACGTACGGTTAGGTGATATACACCAGATAGATGTAACAATAAACTAAGCAGAGACTCCTGTAGTTCACAAATCTATATGCATGACACAAAAGTTCAAATATATATAAAAATTTGTCCAGTAGCACCTTAGAGACCAACTAAGTTTGTTCTTGGTATATGCTTTTGTGTGCAAAAGCGTGAAGAAGTGTGTATGCACACAAAAGCTTATACCAAGAACAAACTTAGTTGGTCTCTAAGGTGCTACTGGACAAATTTTTTATTTTTTATATATTTCGACTGCGTCAGACCAACACGGCTACCTACCTGAAACAAAAGTTCAAGTAAAGCAATAAAACAGTGGCATAATTAGAGTTACTAAAATGCTAAACTCACAGTGTACAAGTCCTGCATTTCTGATCTTGTAGTGCTTATGTCTTTCTTTTTAGGTTTTTTTGTTGAAAGTTTGGCAAACGCTCGAACTGCTGATGATAACAGACCATCTGACCACTCCACTGTATTAGGATTTGTCTGCCCAAAAAGTTCACCAAGACTAACACACTTTGGGTTTATAACAAAGGTGTCTACCTTGCCTTTCTTTGGAGAATTCTAAGGAAAGAAAAACAGACATTTCCTTACCATAAATATCCTGTTTTGGGGATGACATTCAAAAACTCTTTAGAGTTACTCCTCCCCACCAGGAGGAGACAGGGCTGGCTTGCTATTTGATTCTTCTGTTGGACTAAACTGGAATGAGCAGGGACTTCCGGGTTGGCGCCTCTGGCAATGGCGGATTTCCTCCGATCGGGAGGAACCCGCTCCGTGAAAAACAGGGTCTGAACCGCCACGGCGAGGCGGAGACCCATTAAAAACCACAGGCGGGAGAAGCCTGTGGACGTGGGATTCGGCTGGCACCTTTGCGCCTCCCCTACTCGCGGGGAAACCCTGTTTTGGGGATCCGGAGCGACGTGGGGTGAGTGGCGCGGTGCTTTGAATCGACTGCTTCTTTCACGGAGTGAAGCCGCATTGCTGTTGCCAGAGAGCGCTGACTTTTTCCTGTGGACAATTGGATTTTAAACAACTACTCGTGAGTAAAACGGAAAATTGGATTTTTAAATACTTCAATTTGGCACTGAAACGGGAAGGTTATAAACAGGAAGTCCGCCTCCCGTTTTTGTAAATAGACAAGCAAAGACGTTACAAGTAAAGCCTTTGAAAGCTTTTGGCAAAGGATCAAATTTCCACCGGTTTAAAGCTACAAAACCCCCTTAGGAAGCAGGAGAAGAGGGGGAAAATTTTGGATCTAGTGAGCCTGCAGGAGAGAGTGAAAAATCAAATTACCACTGCTCTGAACCTGGGAACGGGCTGCCAGATGACGTTTGGAGAGAGTGCTTTTGACAGAACGGATTTGACAGCTAGCTAAACAAGAGTAAGATACTGTTTCCATTGTCCCTTTCTGCGTTTAAAAAAAAGAGGAAAAGTAACTGAAATTTTATCTTTAATGTTTGAAATTGTGCTTGAAAGAACTGATACAAGTGGAGACTGTTTCCCTCTAGAGGGAGCTTTTGAAACTGTAACAGGACTGTAACTGGGGAATTTCCAGCTGCAGAAAAGGAGTTTGGGAACCAGAGAGCGACCTTGGACTATTTAAAAATGTTGATAGGAGAGGCCATTGTGACTGTTTTATGTAAGATAAGCTGTTCGCTGGGACAGCTTCACAAGAAGATGGATGAAATGACTCTCAAAGTTGATAATTTGGAACAGAAAGTGACCAACTTGAGTCAAAAAGCGAACACTAAAACAGAAATAATTCAGGACTTGGTACAGGAACCCATTTTGGCAGGACAAATGGTGGAGGAGAAGGAGGAGAAGGAGAATGCAGCTGTTGTTCAACATAAAATAATACAAGTGAGATCTGTGGATTTACAGAAGCAAATTGGAGATTATAAATTGAGGCCTTCTATGATTGAATCCAGGAAAAGCCAGACTCCGAGGAATGGATCCCGGTTTGGATTAAAGAAGGAAAGTTGGAAAGAGCCCTCTATGCAGGGATTAACTGACTTTTGGGACATGGACTCGGGCCTGGAGGAGATTGAAGTTTTGGGGGCCTTTGGAATTGGAGGAATTTTGAAATATACCCAGAAATACTTTATGGACTGTAGTTTTAACTATGGAAATTCAGCTGATTTGTTCAGAAGGAAGAAAAGGATTGACAGGTTGGAATTTCCCCGAGATTGGCTCTTTAGCATTAAAGAAAATGAAGAAGACCTGCAGAAGGGACTTGGAAAAGAGTTAAGAGCCTCGGACATAAGATCACCAGGTTGATGGACTTTATGGAATTGACGGAAAGGACTGGCAGAATCCGAAACCTGGGAGAGGAGATGGTGGAAGAAGATTGGAAAATTTAAAGTTTTTATATAGACTTATGGTAAAACTAATGAGTGATAGAAAAATGGTGGAATGATTTTTTATGGGCTTAACAGAAATGTTATAAGGAGTTAAGCACATATAAGTAATTTAGTTTTAATGGAAAATAAGGTTAAAATAATACGTTATTTACAATATCACAGAAAATGGAGAAAGATGGAAAGGATTTGCTGAAACAATTAATAGAAGCGGAACACAAAAGGGAGGTGTGAGGAGGTCGAGGAAACAAGGGAATGAAAGATAGAGTATGGAAAAGAGAGGATGTATGTTTTTAAATTGTTTTTGTTTTGGGGAGTGGGGTTTGTTTAGTTTAGCTTAATGTGTTTAGTTTTGAGTTTAGGTTGTGTTTTGTATTGTTTATATATTGTATTGTATTGTGTGTGTTTCTCTCTCTCTCTCTTTGTTTTTTTTCTTTGTTTTTTCTTCTGTTTTTTCTCTTTTGCTTTTTCTCTCTCTTTTTGTAATCTATAAAAGTAATAAATATTATTCTAAAAAAAATGGAATGAGCAGAAACTTCCTCCAGAATATAGATAACTATTGAACAGCCAACCAGCATAAATGGACAGTTTTTGCTGACAATCACTTGTCAAAGCAAAGTTAGAGGTGGGCACCAATCAATAAATTTGTTTTCTTGATTATTATGTATTACATTTCTCTCATATGGAAGTGTGACAATGTATTTTCCTTTCATTCCTGGTACCTTGAACGCTCTTATGGTGAATTATGCAAAGACAGGATGTTTGCAACAGGATGTTTGCAATAGGACGTTTGTAAAATGTTTTTATTTCATTTTGCAATACAGGTGGTGACTATTTTAGGCACGTCCAACTGATGTGCAATCTCCGACATACAGGTCCTTTTGGACCTGAAAGAGGGCAGAATAGGGGCAGGGCGGCATGTAACAGGACGGAACGGGGCACCCTTATATGTGCTCCACTGACACAAGCATGGGCTGGGAACAAAACCTTCCTTTCTCCTGCTCTAGAGGGTAGGACTAGAACCAATGGATTCAAGTTACAAGAAAGGAGATTCTGACTAGACATTAGGAAGAACTTTCTGACAGTAAGAGCTGTTCGACCATGGAATGGTCTCCCTTGGGAAGCGGTGGACTCTTCTTCCTTGGAGGTTTTTAAGCAGAGGTTGGATGGCCATCTGTCATGGATGCTTTAGTGGAGTTTCCTGCATTGCAGGAGGTTGGACTAGATGACCCTTGGGACCCCTTCCAACTCTACAATTCTACGATTCTATAAGATGGTATATTTTAATCACTGCATACAATCACTGCTTTATTGATATTATTTTACACTTTATGTTGCTTTCCATATAACAAATACTTGCATATACTGATCCTTATATTTCTTCCATCTCCAAGATTAATTAAGGTATAATGTGCTGTTGCTCTCTTTCATATCATTATACTTAAATCTTTTATAAACTGAAATGTGCTTACTTTTTTAACCTCAGATCATATTTAGTCACCCCCTTCTAATCCACTATGCTAAAAGGAGAGCAGGGATAGATGTGAGTGCACTTCACACTTCCTGCCCAGTTTCCTGCCCAGTTTTGCATGGTGGCTGCCAACCTGACTTTACACATTACTATTTTTGTCACTGTGTCTCACCCCCCATCTCATCATGATTTTGGTGCCCTCTTAAATCAGGCCAAGGGCCATGCATGCCCAACTCTAGTTTTGGGATTGCTCTCTTAGTTTGCCAATATTTCAGATCCAACATTAATGCATATTAGAAATTAGGCATAAGAGCACGTGAATAACATACTAAAGAAACAGGTTCAGAAAATAAAGAAGAGACTAAAATAAAATACCTTACCTGAAACACAGCCTCAAGTTTTGAATTGCTTTCTGTATCTACCAATGGCAAGATTACCAGGGCTTTTTCTAAAATTGTTCTGATGGTAGTTTTCCCGCCGCCTGTAGGGCCTACTAGCATTATACCAACAGAAGCCTGAAAATACAGTTTTAAATATTAGCTCTGTAACATTAAGGTTCCCTAAAATGTTTAGATTACCAGGCAGAGAAATATTAAAAGCTCTAACAATGTGTATATTTTTCATACTAGGAGTATCAATCTGCTTTCCTCCTCAGTACTTTTGCTGAAATATCCCCATATCTAGATGGGGCTCATCAACCTGGGAAGGTAGCCCATAAAGGAGAAGGAAAACTCTGATCATAAACCTCTGCTGCCTTGTGGCTATACACATTCATATGAAAGACTTCGGGAGTAAACTCTGAGGAAAAATCCGTCCTTGCAGGACATCTTGAGAACAAGAAAAGACTAACGAGTAAACAAATCTGGAGTGGAATCCCTAAAACAGTTGGATGGGGTCTTGTACACCTCCTTCCAGCAACTCCTGCAGCCAAGCTGGTGCCAAATGTATTGCTCTGCATTCCTTTGGACCACATCAGTGAGGATGAGAGGGGGTCTTGTTGTCTGGGCAGCCCAGGATTTCCATATACACTGCCCAGCTTTGTGTCCCAGAGATGCCACTTCAGTGCTGCAAGCACAGCAAAAACAATGTGGGAGGCAGCAGTTGCGAGTTACTGGTCTCTGCTGCCACAGCAGGTGCTGTGATTCTCCAGTGGGTTGGATTCACTCTCGGAGGCGTACTCCGTTGTTTCTTGAGACAGACTGATGCCAACAACAATAGCCTCCATCTTCCATATCTTTGATCCTTGGCCACGTGGGCTGAGGGTGCTGGGAGCTGGAGTCCTGAAACATCTGTAGCACCACAGCTTCTCCACTCCTGGTGTAATCTAAGTTTACTTTGAAAAACTTTGCGCAGTGTAACATACTATGTACTACTGTATCATATTAAAACATGTAAAGTGATGATTTGCAGAACTTACCATAATTTGGTTGTAAAATTGTATAACTTTCTGTATCTGATTTTCCCATGTCTGCAAACATAAATACTGTATTGCAACAGATATTGCACTCTAAAATCAAATATGTATATAATTAATTAGAATTACAATACTTCAAGATTGTAAATATTAGCATAATAGCTGATATTCTACCATTGTAGAAAAAGTCACCATTTTTTGTTGCTGTCACCAACCTCCCTTACCTCAGCACACACAATGCCCTGGAAAAATACTGTGCCTGGCACATTCATATGTAAAGAGAATAGATACTGGACCACTAAGTAGGGACTTGGTCCGTCTCTACTTCTACTCCACCCCGGCAGCTATAGCTAAAGATAATCATGACCCATTAACCTGATGGTAACTGAAACCATTCCAGTGAAAAAGTGGTCAAGATTCCAATGTTGGTCATATTATTTTTATTTACAGAAGTATTTCTATAAATCATAGAATTGCAGAGTTAGAAGGAACTACGAGGGACATCTAGTCCAACCTCCTGCAGAGCAGGAATCTTTTGCCCATTTATAGAAGGATTTCTATAAACAGAGGCCTTCATCTGAGGCCCAATGCTTAATAATTTCCCCTTGTACATAAAACATTTGCTTGCATGTTTCATTACCTGCAGGCGTCTATGCTTTACTTTTTGAACTTTCATCCCTGGGAAAAGATCTGTCAGGATGTTCTCAAACAGTGGGACATCTTCAGCAAGAAACTTGGGTAAATTAACTTCTCTCAGGACAGTAGTTATGATGAGAGTTTCTTCTGATGTAGAAAACTTTTTCTTTTTACTATTTCTATAAAATAAATCCAATAATAGTAATCATTAGATAAGTTACTGTACAGATTTACATGCTCTTTCACAGAATCATAGAATTGTAGAGTTGGAATGACCCCAAGGGTCTTCTAGTCCAACTCCCTGCAATGCAGGAATCTTTTCCCCGAGGCAGGTCTTGAACCCATGGCCATGAGAATAAGAGTCTCATGCTCTACCAATTGGGATAGCAGGAGTTATCCCAATGACAGATGCCCATTCAACCTCTGCTTCAAAACCTCCAAGGAAGGAGAGTCCACCATCTCCCAAGGGAGACCACTCCACTGTCAAACAGATCTTACTGTCAGAAAGTCCTTCCTGATGTTTATTTCATTAAAAAAAGGGGGCTATCACTATTGAATTTTTATCCACACATGCTGCTGCATATCTTATGCAAATATTCTTAAATATATTTATTTGAGCTTATTGCTCTCTACCCTAAAGTTCTGTACAATCAAAAACATGTTACTTAAAATAGTTCATATGTGCTTGGCTCTGGCCGTCAAATATCAAATGTCCAACATTGCTTCCTAAATGCGCTTACATGAAGGATCACACTAGACAAGATGATGAGGTTGCATGGCTTGATTTCCTGGGTATTTTTGAAGTTCAAAGCAATATATAGTGCCCATATGCCCTTAGCCAGAGGGAAAACAAGGGATGTGGACTTGATTTAGACTGCAATCCTGTACTTTACGGCCACCAGCTAAGGGGCTATGCAGGGGTTGCCAACTCAACACCCACTGGTGCCATGGTGCCCACTATGCCTTTCACTGGTGCTTCTGGTAAGGTGCCCCAGACTCTAAGCTTTCGTTTTTTTATTCTTTTAAGTAAGTACCCAGCCCTCTTAGAAAGAGGTTTGGGGGCAAAACATGAAGTTGCCTTTAAATGTCCAAAAAGGTTGACAGCCCTGGGCTATAGGAACTGGCACAATTCCTAATGACACTGTGCCACTAGCATGACACATTCTGCCAGCAGAGTGGGAGAAAAATAGGGAGGGAATGTGGGTGTTAGCATGAATAGGATTACAGCCTAAGTCACATTTATAAGAGAGTAAATCTCATTGATCTCAGTTTAATTTACTCCCGAATAAATATGGGATTCTGCTGCACAGCTCTACTGAGTGTCGATATCTCCTCTTCCAAAATTCTATGCATAGGACATCACAGCCTATAGCGCAATAATGTTACAGCTATGCATTAGGCAATTAAAAAATCTTACTTACTGTGTTTTTAACTCTTGCCTCTTCTGACCAGCCCTTATTAACACAGTTTTTATGGCTCTCATACCAAAATCATAATGATCCTAGAAAATATAAAATGGAGCATTCTGCAAACCAGGAGGTAACAGATTGTCAAAATTTTGGAAAGCTTAGAAATGAACTCTTTTTTCCTTTTATCTCCAGATCTGGTTTATTTTTGAAAAAAGGAAGCGAAGATGGAGGGAAAAGGGAGAGTAAAGGGGAAAATAGGGGTGCAAACCATGTTGCAAAGGAGGGAGTAGTAAGAATGGGAATAGGGTTTAAGATGAAAGCAGGGACATGAAAGTGTCTGAATAATAGGGGATGGTGGCTTCATCACCTGGTGGAAGGTGAAAAAAGCTCTTAATACAGTGGTACCTCGGGTTACATATGCTTCAGGTTACATACGCTTCAGGTTACAGACTCCACTAACCCAGGAATAGTACCTCAGGTTAAGAACTTTGCTTCAGGATGAGAACGGAAATCGTGCTCCAGCAGCGTGGTGGTAGCAGGAGGCCCCATTAGCTAAAGTGGTGCTTCAGGTTAAGAACAGTTTCAGGTTAAGAATGGACCTCCGGAACAAATTAAGTACTTAACCCGAGGTACCACTGTAATTATAATGTGTGGGAGAAGGAAGATGCAGGAAGTTACCATGGAGGTGGTTTGTGTACAAGGGAGTTGTACAAAAGGAGAGGGAGAGGCACAGACATGGGGTGAAGGTGGAAACGGGTGCAAAGCAGCACTATAGAACGTAAGAGAGAAGTGGCTTCAGAAATGGGGTTGGAAAGATGAAAAATGAGCTTTTGCATGGGGTATGAAAGGGAAGCTCTAAGGGGTTAAAGAGGGGAATGAAGGGGGTTGGCAAGCAGGTGTGTGTGTGTGTGTGTGTGTGTGTGTGTGAGAGAGAGAGAGAGAGAGAGAGAGAGAGAGAGAGAGAGAAATGAATTACAGGTTTAAAAAGTGCGCCAGGCTGAAGGAGCCATGCTGAAAAAAATGAGGAAATTCAGAGAAGGAGGAAACTGCCACCACAGTTTTAAAGTGGGGGGAATTGGATGAAATGGAGACAGGCAAAGACTATTGAAAGGAACACAGAAAATAATTAAAAAATAAAAATTCATAATCCCAAAATCTAAACTTAAGATACAAAACTATACGGAAAGTTCTTGTATAGGCTTATTATAGTTATTCTCTTTGTAGTGCAACGGGTGTAACGTCACATGTAAAACTGTCAATGAGACTCCCACTAATAGGTCCCATGAAAAGGTTCAAGGGTTCAAAGGCTGTCTCTCTTTCTCTCTCATTATATTATACCTGGCGTGAAAGCTGGTTGCTAGAAAGATGATAAAGATTTACTATCTTCTCTGAGAGTGATTTTGCAGACCTGAAACCTTCTGAACACAACATTATTTCAGCAATGAGTTGATAATCTGGTACCATCATTGAGACGGGGCGAAATAATGATTTTAGGTTGTCTGGGAGTTCTACACGACCTTTGTATCTTAAAAGAAAAACAAAAGTCACTAGGTCTATTTTTGCAATTATAAACCGAGAACACTCAAAAGTATTAGTTTTAATACTTACAACAAATAAACAACTTACAACACATTGACAATACTGCATATAAAGAAAGTATAGTAGCTCTACAATAAAGCTCTGAGAGATAATGATGTGGACCACTACTATTATAGGAAACCTATTGTAAAGAATGTTTTTCCTTAAAAAATGTTAACAGTCTGACTTTTTAAAAGCAACTATTTAGATACAGAAAAAGCTTGTGATTTATTTTGGAAAAATGTAATCATGAAAATTCATCAGATTTTAGGGTGAAATTCTCCTAATACAGTATACACATTTTTGCAAAGCAATTTCCTGCAGTATGATTTCATATATTATTATTTTCCCCAATAAATGCATTTCTATGCACACTTTATCCTAGTACAGTGGAACCTTGCTTATTGAACGCTTTGGAAGTCGAACGTTTTGACTTCCGAACGCTGACAACCCGAAGTGAATGCTTCTGTTTTTGAACGCACCTCGGAAGTCGAATGGCTTCTGAGTCGCGTTTCTCCATTTTTTCAATGGATTTTGCCGACTGCCCATTGCGCCTCAGTTGTCGAATGTTTTGGAAGTCGAACAGTCTTCCAGAACAGATTACGTTTGACAACCTAGGGTCCACCATATATGAAGTTTTGTATCCATTACTTGGCTGGAGAACAGCATTGCAAAAACCAGAGATACTTGAATTTCAAATGGTGCCTGTGTTTCAGTTTGCACATTGTTTCAGGCCTGCAAATTATGCAGATTTGCCTTAACTGTGAACTGAATCAAAAACCCCGATGTCTAGTGGAGCACATGCTTTCCATATAGAACAGGTGTATGACAGGTGTGGGGCAGGTGGGCATGGGTTGAGGTGAAACAGCCTTGCAGGCCAAATGAGGACCCGCCAGTCTTAATTAAGCATATAGGTCAGAGACTCTCCACAGCTGATGTAGAAGATCTTGGATTCATTCTTTGGTATCTCTAGGTAAGCCTGCAAAATACTCCAATTTGATATCATGGAAAGCTGATGAAGTCGGCACTGACAGTGATGAGATGATGAACCTTTTGTCTGAATTGGGGTAAGACAGTTTTATATGCTCATTTCAAAATGGGATTGCTACCTCTTTTAGTATTTTTTGAAGAACAAGTGTTATAATCACTTACCCAGGATTCATGGTAATAAAAATTGCACAGAATGGTTTCAGTCGAACTTCTTTTCCTTCCAATAGAAATCTATGACAAATATTAGATTGGTTTTTTAAAAAATGTATTACTGAAGTCAGAAAATTGATAGGATGATTGATAAAGTTACTATCACAGATGACAGCTAGAGTGCCGGCAGAGGAAAACTCATTCTGAATTGGACCGAGCATGTGTTAAGAGCTCAGGGTTGAGCCTACCAACTGGCAATAGCAATGGCGAAGAGGACCTTCTTCACCGCCTCTGTTGTATCTGCAGAAAACAGCAGCAGGAGTCTCTTTCATGTTTGCAATATAATGGAACCACCTTTGCCATTGGGGCCTGGTCATAAAAGCGAGCCGGGAAGGGCTGGGAGATGGGCTCTGCGGAATGGTGAATGCCTCCCTCTGTGAGGGAATCTTCCCAGACCTGCTTAAAGAAGCGGCTATTAAACTGCTTCTTAGAAAGCCATCTTTGGACCAAGGCAATATGGTCCACTATGGCCCAGTCTCAAATCTTCCATTCTTGGGCAAAGTGATTGAGTGGGTAGTTGCTGAACAACTCCAGGCACACCTGGAGAATGTGGACCATTTGGATCCCTTCCAGTCGGGATGCAGGCCTCATCATGGGACTGAAACTGCCTTGGTTGCGCTGGTTGATGATCTCTGGCAGGCTAGGGAGAGAGGTGAGAGCTGTTTCCTGGTGTGGCTGGATTGACTATGACACCATTGACTATGACATCCTTATGGGCTGTCTAGAGGAGTTGGGAGCTGGGGGCATTGTTGTGCAGCGGTTCTGCTTTCTCCTGGGCCATGTTCAGAAAGTGGTGTTGGGGGATGAATGTTCAGACCCCGGGGCTCTCATTTGTAGGGTGCCTCAGGGCTCTGGCCTCTCCCCAATGCTTTTCAACATCTATATGAAGCCGCTGGGAGAGATCATCAGGGGGGTTGGGTTGGGTGTTCACCAGTATGCAGATGATATGCAGCTCTTCTTCTCCTTCAAATTGGAACCAGTGATGGTAGTGAAGGTCCTGTGTGAGTGTCTGGAGGCAGTTGGAGGATGGATAGCGGCTAACAGATTGAGGTTGAATCCTGACAAGACAGAAGTACTGTTTTGCAGGGACAGGGGATGGGCAGGTGTGGAGGGCTCCCTGGTCCTGAATGGGGTAACTGGAGGACATTCTGTACTAGGAAACTCATCCACATTTGGAGACAGGATTTCTAAAGGCTTCTTCT